AGGTCTTCCCCTTTTTTTCTGACCCCTCAATTTTCATGAACAAATGTATGAATATAAGCTGTGATAAATTTTGTGTGTCATTTAGAATGTTAATATATAATAATTGTTTTTGTGTGCCATCAAGTCAGTTCTGACCCATAGCAACCCTGTATAGGGTTTTCGAGGAATAGCTAGTGAGCTTGAACTGTTGATATTGAAGTTCAAACTGACTTTGCAGTCCAGCGCATTAACCCACAGCACCAAACCAGGACTCCTCAAGTTGGAATTCTTCTCCTCATCTTGATAACACATACGCATAGGGACAGTTGAGGTACTGTAAGAAATCATAACAAAGGGATATGTAAGAAGTATGGTAACAACGATGAGGCCTCGGAACAATGGGTTTCCTTTGTGGAAAGAAGAGAATTGGAGGTTACTGGTGTGGTGGCATAGTGGGTTAAGCATGGGGCAGCAAATGGAAAGGTAGGTAGTTCAAACCCACCAGCCATTTTTTTGCGGGGGAGAAACCGTCTGCTTCTGTGAAGATTTACAGTCTCGGTAATCTAATGGGGCAGTTTCTGCTCTGTTCTATAGGGTCTCTGTGAGTTGGAATCAACTCAAATCAACCAGACCAGAGACAGTGGGTTTGGTTCTTTGGTGTGCTAGAAGTCTTCAATGACAGTTTCTGCTGACTTGTAGCATTGATCACTATAGCATATGTCCTCTTTACATACATTAAACTTAGCAAAATACATGTTGGGAAACACCTTATTTTTCACATTCTAGCAGCACTTAACACAGGTTATCTGTTAGTTCCTCCTTTTGATTCTTTCTTCGTTTCTATTCTGGGATGACACTCATTCTTTATTCTCATCCTACTTCAGTGCCCAACCCTGTGCCATCCTCAAAATTGTTGTCATGTTTGAGCCCATTGTTACTACCACTGTGTCTATCAACTTCATTGAGGGTCTCCCTTTTTTTTTTTCTGACCCTCTGTATATAAACCAAGAGGTAGCTGTTTGAATAGAATAAGGGGATACTTATTG